CCTGCATGCTCAAGACCAGTCCAGGCACCTTGGTGAGACTTCCTCTCTACAATAAATTAAAAAAATTAGCTGGGCACGGTAGCACATGCCTGTACTTCTAGCTACTTGAAAGACTGAGGTGGATGGATCCCCATAACCCAGCAGGTTGATTCTGAGTTGGCCATATGTGTGCCACTGCATTCCTGCCTTGGTGACAGAGTGAGATTGGCTCAAAAAACAAATGTAATGTATGCTTTCATACACCTGTGAAACTCAACAATTAATCTATCACACTTTCTGGTGGAAATGTATTGATTTCCACAGCTATAAAGGGAGAAATTTTTCCTCAACGTTGTGATGTAACCTTGGGATGGAGAAAGGAGGGACGGTGAACGGTACCCCAGACCCTCCCTCCGTTGGCCCCGCCAGTTTGTCGGATCCTCCCCACCACTCTTTTGGTCCTGAAGATGTGGAAAGAGGGGTTGTTCACAGAGGGCTCAGCTGGTGAGGTCGCGGATGGGACAAGTCCCCAGTGTCCTGGCTTAGCCTTACCTACATGGAGGGCACCAGACCCCACTGCTGGTGGGGATGTTTTCACTGTCAGCTGAGGGGGAGGCCGGTCCCACCTCAGCCGGGTCATCCGAGTCCATCCACTTCCCCTCTTGGGACTCCCCCAGCATACTCACCTTATCCCAGCTTCTGGATGTCCTGACAGCCTCACCAAGGACTTCCACATCCTGCAGATCACAAGGTGACAGAGGTTGAAGCGAAGAAACACGTAGATACTAGAGTGCAGGACACTGCAGATAGGACGACCCAACTCTGCGCAGGCGCAGGAGACAAAGGGCCGACCAGAGCCCAAAAGCTGCCATGTCACTTCCAGCTCCCGTCTGATTGACCAGTTCAGACCTCAGCATCCATTGATTGGAAAAATATTCAGGCCTCTCCCTTCTGGTCTTGACTGTCAGGGGATGCAAAACCAGAAGGACTCCATAGGCAAAATGCCTTTAGATTTCTCCTTGCCCCAGAGTTTGGGCAGAAGGGTGGGGGGAGGAGGATTGTGGACCCCTTCGGGGCATGATGGGAGTTTTTGTCACTCCTGGTTGATGGGTCACTGGACTGTAGGCCTTTCCCGGGACACGCTGGGAATGTAGTCCTGCAGATCCGCAACCCTCCAACTGGGAGCCATGCAGATGCCAGAGTTCCCAGCAAGATCTGTAAGGGGCCCCCTCACACATCCATACCACATTCCGGAACTTGGAGAAATCTCAATATTTTCTTGCCTCATGCAGCCCGTGTCTGATCGCATGTCCTGTCACTCAAGACCAGATGCCCTGGGGTTTTATCCAATCAACTGATGCTGGGGTTTGAAATGGCGAAACAGACAGGAGTTGGGAGTGAAGGGGCAGCTTTCGGTCTCTTACTGGACCTTAGTCTTGTGTATCAGTCTTGTGTATCTTCATTTTAGCCTGTGTTGCTGTGTGACACGCAGGTCCTGGGAGAGTCATAGGGCGGACGCTGAGACCCTCGGAAAGCAGGAGGTGGTGAGTGTGCGGGGAGGTTCCCCGAGAGGGGGAGTGGAGATGGACATGGATGACCTGGTTCTTTAGGGACTGGCTTTTCTGCCAGCTCTGAGCCTGGACCCGTCCCCACTGGCAACTCAGCCCGGTCCCCTCGGTGTAGGTGGGCCTGGGGTGTGACCTGTGGCCTTCACCCAGCAGTGACATCACCTGCTGAGCACTCTCCATGCAGCTCATCATCTCCAAGTGTGCTGAACCCATGACAGTTGTGGAGAGGAACCAACCTGCGTGGGGTGCTGATGGGGAAGCTATGACCTTGGCCCACTCGCTTTCTCTTCCCCAGAGTTAAATGGCAGCTCCATCAAAATGTTAAGGAGGCCTCTTGGGCAGTAGCGGTTCTTGAGTCCTGAAACACCAGCCAGGACTTGTGATGTGGGGATCCCGGAAGGCCTGGGAGGAAAGGGTTTGAGTAGGGGCAAGGGGAGGCCGGGCATGGGCAGGTGCTGTTGGGTGACAGTCCTACAGTGGCCTTATCTGAATTATCTAGGTGGAAATCTCCAGGGTCTATCATTAGTGTCATTGACCATTTGTGTCACCAGGTCCAAATCCGGTTCTGTCGACATAAGGAGTTGGAGCAGGGGTTGTGACTTTATTTAGTGGGGACATTAAAACCAAGGAAATGAGGGGACAGCATCCTAAAGTCCCCTCCTGGGTCCTATGTGCTTTATCAAAATTTTTATCCAGGCAGTGGGACAGAGAGCGGCTAAGATCAAGAGCTGGCTTAGACTTGCAGAAATCTAGGAGATGAGAGGAGTCCTGGAAAGGGGTGAATTATCTTTGACCTTGGTTCAGAGTCTCTTGTTCCTTTATTAAACAAAACAAAGTTAGTGTATATATTCCCACTTTCGTAGAGTTAGTCTGGACAGCTGCATACTGGTATCAACCTTGTCAGCATTTCAAAATTATTTTAATTATTCAAACACACAAAAGGCCAGAGATCTCCCACCCCCAGTTGTTTTGAACTTTTGAGAGTTGGCTATCCCATTTTGGATTGATTAGGTCTAAATTTTATATTATTAAATTAGTAACTCAAAAAATTTATTTTAGTTCGGCCACTGGTTTCTCTGCACACATCACTGTTCTTGAGGCCAAAGGCAGAATTGATGTCTGTCCTCTGGATTATCTTGCATTTGTAAAGAAGGAAAACTACCTAAATGACAAAGTATACCCACCTCAGGGAGATGGTGGAAGAATCAAATCAAAGAGAATCTCAGGCAAACAGGAGAGCAAGCGAGGGACTCCCAAGAGGGTGGTAAGGCTCTGACAAAAAATAAATACATTCCATTTAATTTTGAAATAAGTGAAGGCATATTTTCAAAATGTGGGTGTGACTGGATTAGATAATGTCACCTGAGAAGAAATCCCAGAGAAGTAGGAGGAAAAAGAAAAAATGGCTGCTGTTCAGGTAAATGTGTCCCAGATCAGAAGGATTGTCATGTATAAAACTTTCAAACCATCCTGCTGTCCTTGTGATGGTCCTGCCTAATGAATTTGTTTCAACTCTTTTTGTTCTTCCTGTGATATTCAATGGGTCTATCGAACAGTGCTTCCTACATAGCCTCTTCTGTTCTCTTCAACCATACTGCTTGCTTGTCATAAACTGTTCTCCCCATGAAAGTATGACCTGCATTATTAAAAATGTTCCCTTGTTACTGGGGGTCATGGGAAGGCATGGTAACGAAGAATTCCATTGGAGATTGGGTAGATCCTCAGATCCTAATGAAGGATAGAAACATGTATATATATATATTAGTTGTAGTCTTCCTCTGTTGTCCAGAATGAAATGCACTGGCACACTCATGGCCACCAGAGCCCAGTTAATTTTTTGATTTATTGTAGAGATGTGGTCTTGCCAAGTTGTCCAAGCTGGTCTCACATGCAAGGGTTCAGGAAATTCTCTTGCCACAGTCTGCCAAAGTACTGTGATTATAGGCATGAGCCTCTGCTCCTAGCCAGAAGATGTACTGTTAAGGTTTCTGTCTAGATGCTCCATCAGCTCCATGAAGAACATGGTTAATAAAATAAGCTTTTAAGCAGGATGGCAGTTACAGCCGAAAATAACTCCAGAAAGTCTGAATAAAGAATAATTAGAAGAGACTTGCTCTCTAGGATGCCAAAAACTAAAAATATACACTTTCAGAGATTACATGCCATGGGAGATACCTGTAGGCAGATTTCTGCCTAACACATGTTTTCTTGTTATTCAGTTGAAATTATAAATTACTGTATCGGATGGGTGTGGTGATTCAGCCTGTAATCCTGGCACTTTGGGAGGCTGAGGTGACAAAATTGCCTGAGCCTGTGTTTTGGGAACAGTTTGGGCATTTGGTGAGACCTTGTCTCTACAGTAAAGTACAAAAACTAGCCAGGCATGGTTGCATGCACCTATAGCTGTAGATACTTGGAAGGCTGAGGCAGAAGGTTTGCCTAAGTCCTGCAGGTTGAGGCTGGAGTGGCCAGAGCATACCACTGCATGCCAGCCTGGGTGAGAAGAGTGAGACTCCAAGTAATAATAAATTACTATAACTATTGTCTAAAATATCCCAGCATGGATGTTGTGTTCCACCTGTGTGCCTTGACTTCTGACACCAATTTGTCCCAACTACTTGGGATGCTATACAGGATGGATTCTTTTAGCCAAGGAGATTGAGGATGTAATAAGCTGTGATTATGCCATGGCACCTATCCTGGGTAAGAATGGGACACACCAACTGAAAAAAAAATGCACAGAACCTCAGCCTAACTCCATGGATTCTGAATCCGAATTTGCATTTTAACAAGATATTCAATTCATTGTTGTACAAATTAAAACTTGATGAGGACCTTCTGACTCATTAGGAGTTTTCCATCTGAGCAGTATATGTAATGTATTCCATGTGATGTAAACATAGCAATTAAAAATGTACATGCCAGCCGGGCTCGGTGGCTCAGCCTGTAATCCCGTGCCTTTGGGAGGCTGAGGTGAGTGGATTGCCTAAGCCTGCGGGTTCGAGACCCGCCTGGGCAGCGAGACCTCATCTCTACAATAAATCAAAAATCAGCTGGGCGTGTTAGCGCATGCCTGTAATTCCAGCTACTTGGAAGGCTGAGGTGGAAGGATCGCCGGAGCCCAGCAGGTCGAGGCTGCGGTGGCCGGAAGCGGCCACTGCACTCCAGTCTGGGCGACAGAGTGAGACTCCAACTCAAAAAAAAAATGTACATGCCTGTGTCATTGTCCAAATTTATGCTGTTTCACTCACAAAAATAGAAAGTCTACACTGGCTGAGTGGATTTTATTTCATCCTTTTTTCCCACACTTAATGCATTAGAGGATATTTCTGTGTTGTGAATTTTCTTATTGTATAATAATAGTTGTCCTGTGAGCTGAATCCTGGTCTCTTCACTCTTGCTTTACCTAGAGACCATGGTGACTTGGTAAATGTGTGTTTTTGTTGTTTTCAGGGGTTGTTGTCATTCAAGGATGTGGCCATAGAATTCTCTCCAGAGGAGTGGGAATGCCTAGACCCCCCTCAGCGAATATTGTACAGGACTGTGATGTTAGAGAACCATAGAAACCTGGTTTTTCTAGGTGAGGAAACTTTCAAATCAATCCCTATTTTATACTAAGGATTTTATGTCTTTCCTTTGTAGAATGTTTTCTGGAAATTTCTGCTTTGTATGAATGAGTTTCAGATTCCTATGATCAAATAAAAGTTGGTAATATGTTAACATCAAAAATAAAAAATTAATGATGTTTGATTTTGACAGGAAGCCTTCTCTAGTTTAAATTGACCAGTGTCCTTCTAGCTATATTATTGGTCAGTTCAGAATTTAGTGGCATAGATATCATTGCCCACATCTCATTCCAATTGCTGCCATAAGTAATTGACTCACTAGTACTGAACTAAGAACTCACAAATTTAAGGCCAGGCATGGTGGCTTAACTGTGTAATGACAGCACATTAGGAGGCTGAGTTGAGAGGACTCCCATAGCCCATGGGTTCAAGAACAGCCTGGACAACTTGGCAAGACCCCATCTCAACACTAAATCAAAAAATTTTTCTGGGAGTGGTAACTCACACTTGTAGTTCTGGTTATGTGGTAGGCTGAGGGAGAAGAATTACCTGAGCCCAACAGGTGAGCACTGGGTGGCCATGAGCTTTCCACTGCACTCCAGCCTGGGTGACAGAGTAAGATGCCAACTTAGAATAAAAAGTAATCCATAAATTGAAAATCCTATCTAAATGTTCTAAAGGTTTTATTGGGAAACCATATTTGGGGATTAATTTTCTAGAATCTTGTGTAATATGTTCTCTACTGATCAAATACTAGGTTTGTAATTGAAGAACCCCAGCAAGAGTCATGTTAGTTTTTTCTAATTAAACAGGACTTGCTGTCTCAAAGCCAGACCTCATCACATGTCTGGAGCAAAGGAAAGAGCCCTGGGATGTGAAGAGACATGGCACATTAGCCAAACTTCCAGGTAAGTGGGAGTGAATTAAGCAGATGGCACACATTGAGGAATCAGAACTTGAAATGTGGTTTGGGATTGTGGTCTGCCCCAATGAAAATGGTTTATTAGAAGCCTGGGATTCATTCTCTTGCTGTTACAGAGGGACATCTGTTATTCCATATTCTCCAAAAACTCCACTTCTTCAATGATCTTTGAAGTTTACAGAGGAAATCAATGTCCACTTAATGTTTTGTTGGGAACTGCATGATCTGACTACCTTTCTGATACTTTGGAGATGTGTAAATATTTACTTGTTTATTTGGAAATCCATGTCAAACTATGGTTTATGTTTTCTTTTTGTGTCGTGGTTAGGAGTATGTGAGCAGTGATTTTGTTATCTGTTTGAGAAATTTTAAGAGCATCCCAGACACATATTGCATGTTTTCTAATTTATGATTTTCTATACTAGGGTGACTTCCAATGATTTTATTTAAATTCATACTCAATAGTCCTACCTAAATGCAAATTATCTCTCTTAATAGAAGAAATCCTGTTGTTTTACTTCAATTTTGCTTTTATAGTATAATCTGAAACTGGTAGCTTTTCTTTATGTCCAAATATTTAAGTATACTATATCATATAGAGAATTGGTAAACATATATTAAGCTCCTACAGGTTACCTTGTGTCTTAACTCTTATTTTATAATTTTCTTTGGTATGAAGCTTAGAACTAGCTTCATTTATACATATATTCAAACACACATATATGCATGTTTATGTGTGATTAGCATCTGATTTTTTATACATAAATAAAAATGTATAACCATATGTTGTTAATAATGTAATAATTGGATATGTCTGTAGAGTGTGAAATGATGATTACAATTATATTAATGAACATATCAACCATCTTACCTAGTTGCCATTTTTATGTTTTGTAAAGAGAACACATAATGTCTTCTATTTTAGCAAATTTTCTAAGCATATGTAATGTCATTATTAACGATGAGTCACTATGGTACACATTAGTTCCCTAAAACTCAGTTATAACTCAAATTTGGTAATCATTGAAAAACATCTCCATTTTCCTACCTGCAGGCCCTAGTGATCATGTTGAACTTTCTTCCTCTATGAGTGCAAAGTTTTTTGATTCCACAGGAGTGAGATCATACAGGATTTTTTCCCCCTAGTTGGAGTCTCACTCTGTCACCCAGGCTGGAGTGCAGTGGCATGCTAATGACCACCACACCCTCATTGCTTGGCTCAGGTGATCCTTTTATATCAGCCTTTCAAGTAACTGGAACTCCAAGCATGCGCTGCCATGTCAAGCTTATTTTTGTATTTGTCATAGACCCAAGGTCTCACCTAGGTGCCCAGACTGGTCTTGAACGCCTGAGCTCAGGTAATCCTCTCACCTCAGTCTCCCATTATGATGGGTTTACAGACTTGAGCCACTGTACCCATTCTCACACAGTATTTGTGTGTGTGTGTGCCTGCATCACTTCAGTTAGGATAATGTCTTACAATGTCTTCCATAAGGTTAAAATTGCAGAATTCTGAAAACATTTTTGGCTGAATCATATGCTACTGCATATATATGCATATATGTGTGTGTGTATGTTATTTCCTTTTTTTTTTTTTTTTTGAGTTGGAGTCTCACTCTGTCACCCAGACTGAAGTGCAGTGGCCACTCCTGGCCACTGCAGCTTCAACCTCCTGGGCTCCAGTGATCCTGCCATCTCAGCCTTCCCAGTAGCTGGAACTACTGGTGCATGCTATCATGTCCAGCTAATTTTTTGATTTATTGTAGAGATGAGGTCTCACCAAGGCAGGTCTTGAACCCATGGGCTCAGGCAATCCACTCACCTCAGCCTCCCAAATTGTGGGATTACAAGCTGAGCCACTGAGTCTGGCTATTATTTTCTTAATCAGCACAGATTCCACAAATATTTAGGTTGTTTTCAAGCTTGGTCATCTTGACAAATGCTACAATTCTCATAGGGGTTGGAGAATTCTTTTTGATACTGATTTTATTTCCTTTGGTTATATACTCAGAAAAGGGATTTCTGTGTAATGTGGTAGTTTGTTTTTGTTTTTTATTTTTATTTTATTTTTCTTTTGAGTTGCAATCTCACTCTGTCACCCAGACTGGAGTGCAGTGGCATGCTCCTGGCCAATGCAGCCTCAACCTGCTGGGCTCCTGCGATCCTTCCGCCTCAACCTTCTGAGAAGCAGGGACTACAGGCGTGTGCTACCACTCCCAGCTAATTTTTTTGATTTTATTGTAGAGATGAGGTCTCGCCAAGTTGCCCAGGCAGGTCTCGAACACTCAGGCTCAGGCAATTCACTCACCTCAACCTCCCAAAGCACTGGGATTACAGGCTGAGCCACCAAGCCCAGCTTGTTTTTATTTTTAAAAGAATGTTGATAATGATTTGTATGTGACTCTACCAATTTTAAACTCACCAAGAATATACAGGATTTCTTTTTCTTCACATCCTTCTCAAAAGTTCTCTCTCTTCTGGTTGATATTAGCCATTCTAACAGCTGTGAGACAATATATCATCATTGTGTTTATTTGAAATTGCCTCTTATTGGTGATATTCAGTACCAATCCATATATACCTGTTGGCAATTTGTATGTCCTCATTGGAAAATAACTATTCATTTTGGGGTTATTTCAAATGATTATCATTTTCTTGCTTTAACATCTCATCAAGTATATGGTTTGCAGATGTTTTCTCTTGTTCTGTAAGCCTTCTTCCTTGTCCCTTTACTATGCAGAAACTTTTCAGTTTGATGTCTCCAACTTGTTTATATTTATTTTTATTCCTGTAGTCATAAAAAAAATCATTACTAAGACTAATATCAATATCAAGGATGTTTTCCAAATCCTTTTTATGGTTATGTTTTATCAACATTTTCTCTGTCACCCAGGCAGTAGTGTGGTGGTTCAAGTAAGGGTTTCTTCATTTCATATGAAAATTTCTCAAATTTTTTTGTAATTTGCAGCTCCACAAATTATTGTTGTACCCTTAATTGAATCATTTATCTTGATTCTTTCTATGCTTTGGCATACTTTGAATTGGGGTATTTGAAATTCAAAGATATACACATCATAATTTTTATGATGTTACTTTGTCTAGATTAATATAACACCAATAACTAAGTTAGAGAATCTAGGAGACTCTCATACATGTTCTTAGGATGTATCTTCTCTGTACATTGGGACAGAAAGCTGTCTTTGCATAAACCCTCAAAGTACAGAAGTATGGACTCCTACTCCAATCTTCTGTTTATTCCCTGAGAAAGAATTCAAGAGGTAGAATGTCACATCTGATTGCATCATGCTGCATTGTAAAGGAAGAGAAATTATGGGGGTAAAATTACTGAACTTTCTCTTCCATGTAACTCATTTTATCACTGTGGACTCTGCAAAGTCTTAGCTGTTTTTTGAGTTCTCACACTGGCAATGGGGTAAGTATGTTCTTAAGTACATATATGTATGATGGAGTGGAAACCTGTGATTTGTACTTGCCATCATACTTATGTCCTTAGCAAGGTATAATATAATGTTTTATTTTTAAAGGATATTCACCTGAGTCTAGCATGTGGCATAAATTTTCATTTTCATGATTTTCAGCTGTGACTTCTCATTACACTGAAGGCCTTTTGCAAGAGAAGAGCATAGAAGATTCACTTGCAAAGGTACCAATGGGTAAATATGGTAAATATGTCCTTAAGAACTTATGCTTACAAAAATCTTGGGAAAATGTGCATGAGGGTGAAGGACAGATAGAATGCTCAGTTGCAAATAATCATTACAAATGTAACAAGAGTGTGGAAGTCTTTCATCAACAATCCAAATTTGTTATCCACCAGAGTATCCATATTTCTGATATGGCTTTCAAACATGATTATGGCAAAACATTTAACCGGTCCTCAAAATGTAGTCAACATCAAAAAAATAGTGGAGGATATACACCCAATATATGTGGGAAAGTGTTTAAGAAATCATCCTATCTAAATAGACATGAAAGAATCCATAGGGGAGAGAGAGCCTTCAAAAGTGAAAAACATGGCAAAGCCCTTAGCTATTACTCATGTCATTCAAAATATCATGCAGAGAAACTCTATAAATGTGAAGAATATAATAAAACCTTTACTTGTTATTCACATCTTAGTCACCATCAGAGATTCCATACTGCACATAAACCATATAAATGTCAAGTATGTGACAAACCCTTTCATCAATATTCAAATGATATTCAACATCAAAGATACCAAACTGGAGAGAAACCCTGTACATGTGAAGAATGCGGTAAAGCCTTTTGCTCTCAAGGAGAATTTCCTGGACATAAGACTCTTCATACTGCAGAGAAACCCTATAAATGTACAGAATGTGGCAAAGCCTTTCACTGTCATTCAAACCTTACTCAACATGTGTTGATTCATACTGGAGAGAAGCCCTACAAATGTGAAGAATGTGGCAAAGCCTTTCACACTCGTTCACACCTTACTCGACATACGGTGATTCATACTGTAGAGAAACCCTACAAATGTGAAGAATGTGGCAAAGCCTTTCACACTCATTCACACCTTACTCAACATACTGTGATCCATACTGGAGAGAAACCCTTCAAATGTGAAGAATGTGGCAAAGGCTTTCACATTCGTTCTCACCTTACTCGACATACGGTGATCCATACTGGAGAGAAACCCTACAAATGCGAAGAATGTGGCAAAGCCTTTCACATTCGTTATCACCTTACTCGACATATGATGATCCATACTGGAGAGAAACCCTACAAATGTCAAGAATGTGGCAAAGCCTTTCATACTTGTTCAGACCTTGCTCGACATACTATGATACATACTGGAAAGAAACCATACAAATGTGAAGAATGTGGCAAAGCCTTTCACACTCGTTCAAATCTTACTCAACATATGGTGTTCCATACTGGAGAGAAACCCTACAAATGTAAAGAATGTGGTAAAGCCTTTCACACTCGTTCAAACCTTGCTCAACATATGGTGTTCCATACTGAAGAGAAACCCTACAAATGTGAAGAATGTGGCAAAACCTTTCACACTTGTTCACTCCTTACTCGACATATGATGATCCATACTGGAGAGAAACCCTACAAATGTGAAGAATGTGGCAAAGCCTTTCAAACTTGTTCACTCCTTACTCGACATACAGTGATCCATACTGGAGAGAAACCCTACAAATGTGAAGAATGTGGCAAAGCGTTTCGGACTCAAGGAGGATTTGCTGGACATAAGACCATCCATACTGGAGAGAAACCCTACAAATGTGCAGAGTGTGGCAAAGGCTTTACTTGTTATTCGAACCTTATTGTACATCAGAGTATTCACACTGGAGAGAGACCCTACAAATGTGCAGAATGTGGCAAAGGCTTTCCTTGGTACTCAAAGCTTATTGTACATCAGAGTATCCATACTGGAGAGAGACCCTACAAATGTGCAGATTGTGGCAAAGGCTTTCCTTGGTACTCAAAGCTTATTGAACATCAGAGTATCCATACTGGAAAGAAACCCTACAAATGTGCAGAATGTGGCAAAGACTTTAATTCTCATTCATATCTGACTCAGCATACAGTGATCCATACTAGAGAGAAACCATACAAATGTGCAGAATGTGACAAAGCCTTTGGCTCTCGTTCACGACTTACCCAACATGCGATGATCCATTCTGGAGAGAAACCCTATAAATGTGCAGAATGTGGCAAATCCTTTCAGTTTCATTCACAACTTACTCGACATACAGTGATCCATACTGGAGAAAAACCCTACAAATGTGAAGAATGTGGCAAAGCCTTTCGTTCTCATTCACAACTTACTCAACATACAATGATCCATACTGGGAGAAACCCTATAAATGTGCAAAATGTGGCAAAGCCTTTCAGTTTCATTCACAACTTACTTGACATACAGTAATCCATACTGGATAGAAACCCTACAAATGCGAAGAATGTGGCAAAGACTTTTGCATTTGTTCAGACCTTGCTCAACATACTATGATGCATACTGGAAAGAAACCCTAAAAATGTGAAGACTGTGGCAAAGCCTTTCACTCTCACTATAGATTTGCTGGACATTAGACCATCCACACTGGGGAAAAATCCTACAAATGTGAAGATGTGGCAAGGTCTTTTTCTCTCATGTAGGATTTACTAGACATAAGACCATGTATACTGGGGAGAAATCCTACAAATGTAAAGAATGTGGCATAGCCTTTTGCTCCCATTCAAAGCTTGCTGTACATATCAAGGTGTATACTGGGGGAAAAACATAAGTGGAAAAAATGTGGAAATGCCTTTTGCTCTCACAATGGACTTGCTGGACATAAGATGATCCATACTGGAGAGAAACTACAAATGTAAAGTGTGTGGCAAAACCTTTCAGTCTCATTAACGATTTGCTGGACATAAATACCGGGGAGAAATCCATACCAGGGAGAAATCCATACCGGGGAGAAATCCTACAAGTGTAAAGAATATGGCAAAGTCTTTCACTCTCACAATGGACTTGCTGGACACATGACCATCCATACTGGAAAGAAACACTACAATTGTGAAATATGCAGAAAAGCCTTTGACTCTCATTCATTACTTGCTTGACATTTCAAGATCCATGTTATTGAGAAACCCTACAAATGTGCAAAGTGTGGCAAAGCTTTTCACACTCAGACAGGATTTGCTGGACACAAGACTATCCATAGTGGAGAGAAATCCTACAAACATGACAAATATGGCAAAACCTTTTGCTCTCAAATGATTTGCTATACATATGAGGTGTCATACTGGAGAGAAACTCTACAAATGTGAAGAATGTGGCAAAGTCTTTTGCTCTCATAAAGTATTTACTGAACATAAGACCATACTGTAGTGAACGCTACAAATCTGAAGAATGTGACATAGCCATTCACTCTCACAATGGATTTTCTGGACATATGATCATCCATACTGGAGGGAAAATCTACAAATGTGAAAAACATGGTAAGCCCATTGTGCTCATATACAACTTGCTGGACATATGAGAATCCATACTGAGATGAAACTATATAAATGAAAGGAATGTGATAAAGCCTTTAGCACTCATTCAATATTTGATTGACATATGAGTATCTATATTTAGGGATTTCCTATAGATGGGCAGAATGGGGTAAACATTTTCACTGTTATTCCAAGTTTTCTCAACATCAGACAATTTATACTCTAACTTTTCAATATCTCTAATGACTGGAAAATTATATATCTAGTTGTAAACAATAGAGACATGGAGGGAAATTTGTATATGTAAAGAGAACCATTATCTTTACTCAAACCAGAGATCTTCTGAATGTACAAATGTAAAACATGTCTAAAGACATTAACCAGCAAAAACTTTGACATTAGTTGTGTATTATAGAGAATCTACAAATTTAAAGAATGTGGACTGGCCTTTGTTCAAAATATATGCCATTGGAAACACTAGGGTATTGGGACTGAAAACTTTACAGATGAAATTTATATGGAAGCTTATTTACTGAAATGTCAAGTTGAAATAAATATCAAATATTGAGTGGCGTTAGATTTTTTTTGTTTGTTTTTTAGGAAAGCATAAGTATATTCTCTGTAAAATTTTGGTTTTTCACTGACAGAATTTGAGGATATTTTGAAAAGCAAACAATATTGATGTAACTCAACTCACCTGATGCTATGCCTTCATTCATAGTGTTTATGTAAAGGCATGGGGTCAGTTGTTGGTACGTTAGAGTGATGAAATGTCCTTGTATATTAGGTCACCAGCACTCATCTCATGTTTTTCATGGAGGATGAAAAACACTGATAGGTAATCTCCTTTAAAAGATAGAAGTGAAGAGGTTTTTTGTGGCTCACATTAAGCATTATTGTAAGTTTGGGATGAGGTGAGTGCTCAGGATAACATTTTTCTTTGAAAATAAATGACAAATGATCATTAAGAGTTTTAGAAGTAATTCTTTTTACTACTTATATGGTAATGAGAAAATGAGGCCAGAACATTAATATCTTGATGCATCTTCATAGTATCAATACTTATAAGCCATAAGTGTAATTTGATAAGATATAAAGAAATGTTTTCATAGACAACAGAGCAAAGATAATTACTCTAAAAAAAGTATATATTGTAAGTTTATTTTTAGTAAACAATCAGATTCAGTTTTTATAACTGAAGAAAGCTGTTTCCACATATATCCCACTATCAGAAGAGCAGAAGTGCTTGAGTGTTTGTAACCTGGTTTTGCTAGCAAGCATACAGTGAAATTTAATGGTTTATTTAGGCTATGTAAATTTGTTTGTTTTAATGAACAGAATTGTTTATAAAGTATTAGCATTTGTTGTCCACCACCCAATAAATTGTTATGTTGGCAGAAGTGTTAATCTATTCTATCTTACCCAAGATTGTAGATATATGATGACCATGTACTATTGAGTAACTTATGGAAGGATGTTTCTAGTGATCCTTTTTTTTATAGGTCATATTTTCTTTCTTTTTTTTAAGTTATGTGTCATTTTGATTATTGCAATAAAGATTATACAGGAGTATAATTATAAGACCTAACTTTCTGAATCCTGACTATTGTAAATACTTAATTAGGTTGGATTTTGACTCTGATGCCTGGGCTGGAACACAGTGGAAAACCATGGTCACTGCAGCCTCAACATGATGGTACCAGGCCATCTTTCTCCTTTAGCCTCCTGTGTAGCTGGTGCCACAAACATTTGCCATCATGCCCACCAACTATTGGATTCATTGTTAAGACAAGGTCTCACCAAGTTGCTTGTGTTGGCCTCAAAGCCCTAGACTAAAGCAGTCTCCTGTACTTTGCCTCCCAAAGTGCTGGAATTATAGGCATGAGTCACCATGCCCAATCTCTTGTTTCCTTTCTATTCATCTGGCACTGTGTTGGAAGCACTTGTCCCTTCAAGTCATCTGCCTCTAACACCTGTGATGTGGGCTCTGGGCTCTGGAATATCTTCAACATTTATATCTTAATATACTTCCCTATCAACTGTTTTGCCATAAATCCAATGATTCTTTGTTATTTCCTTGATGTGCTCTGGAGAGACCAAATGTTCATATGGAAACATTAACATCACATGATATGTGAAACAGAATCTCACAACTTGCATTAATCACCTGGCAGCAGGAAGTGATCACAAAATTATTGACTGATACACTTTGTGTCATAGCTAATTTTATGCAGTTATGAGTTAGTACTGCAACTTTACATTTATTTACACATTTCCTAACTGCTAATGGTGCCAGGCATTCCCTGTAAATGCATAAATTATAAATTTACCTTTGCCTGATAGATTTGTATATCTTTATGACAGTAAATGCCAAAATAGACAAGAATATACTTCTATCTGATGTCCTCATGACTTTTTTTTCATTTAGAAAAAGGCATTTAATTATAAAATTTGTCTTTAAATAAAAAAGCAACGGCATGAATCACCACAAAATTAAGTAATCATATCCACAGTCTGTTCTTGGAATTATATGCTAAAAATCTATAACTGTTCTCATCAACAGCATTTTCTCCCCTAACTAGAGTGTCCTCAAGAGCTTCTGAGAATGTGTAGTTTTTCCTAAAGTACTACTAAAAGTATCATAAACACAGATTGTGCATATTCATTTACATCACCTTTTATTTACTATGCTCTAGACTCATAAAATATTTAACATTTCTCTGACTTCATTTCTCTTATTTACATCTCTTGTTGCAATATGGTTGGTGGAGTAAAATCCCTGGGAATAGTATTAACTTTCTACAACATTTTAATAAATTGATTATTTAAAATGAGTACACAAACAAAAGCTCATTCACATGACTGTGTTATACCCAGAAGAATAACTCTTCCGGTAGACTTATTCAGGAGTAAAAACAAAAAAATCCCTCTTTAAGTAGAATATATTCTTCAACCATCAGTGGATTATACTATCATGCATATTTGTGATGGTAATAAGACAACAGGTAGAGTCAGCTATGACACTTTAAATTCCATTTGGAGGCTGGGTTCGGTAGCTCAGCCTGTAATCCCAGAACTTTGGGAGGCTGAGGTGAGTGGATTGCCTGAGCCTGCGGGTTCGAGACCCACCTGGGCAACTAGATGAGACCTCATTTCTACAATAAATCAAAAAATTAGCTGGGTGTGGTAGCGCACACCTGTAGTTCCAGTTACTTGGAAGGCTGAGGTTGAAGGATTGCCGGAGCCCAGCAGGTCAAGGCTGTGGTGGCCAGAAGTGGCCACTGCACTCCAGTCTGGGCAACAGAGTGAGACTTCAACTCAAGAAAATAAATAAAAATAAATTCCATTTGGAAGTGTACAGCATACATAAAGTGATTTGGTTTCCTCTCTCGTTATCCATAATCCAGTTATTTCTCATGGGTATATTTTATTTATTCTTAGTATATAAGTATTTAATGGTTCAGTAATAACCAGCAGCTTCTGACAGTCTTATTTTCTTGATGGTGGACACAGTTCTATGCACATATGTCAGATGAACTGAAAAATGCAAATCACCTCATGTGACACAGCAGGAAGAAGTAGAATGTTATTATTTGAACAAATGATTCACAGAGATGAATACTAACATTGTGAAATGACAGGAATAAAATTAGGTATGTTTTAATATATGCTGTCTTCACAACTTGCCATACCTGGTATTTATCTTCTTGGTTAAAAAGCAAACCTAATTGGGAGAAGGCAGATGTGAGGAGGGAATAAAGCTGAGAAAGTGTATAATATAGTATATATGATTATAGGAGAAAAAAAGTGAGTGGGAAGAGAATAAATTCTCACAATAAAAAAGAGATGTCACATCTGGATACATTTCACAGAGCACATGAAAATAGCCCATACACTAGTTAAGCCTCTTTCCTCACACTCCAGAAATAATTGTTTTCTAAA